ACCATGTAATTTGCAATTTTAAAATAGTAGAGCATCCAACAATTCTTTTCATAAGAGCAGCAAAGTCATAAGATCTTAATATATTTCTTTTCAATTTCAAATCAAGTTCCTGGCATTTTACTGCAACCAAATCTCTTTGAGAAATAATGGTAAATAATCTGAGAAGAGTCAAAAAAGATCTGACATATAATTCCAAGAGTGGGGAAGATCTTAGATGCAACCACAACTTATGAAGTTTTAAATCTAAATATTCAGAAAATGTGTAGTCACTTTTACATAGCTCAGGGCTAAGTTCAACACAAGTAGAAAAGCCATCATTTTTCAAAATCAAAGTTTCTGACCATGAGCTTTGTGCAATCCAGTATAAGGGCATTACCTCTGATTTGTACTTATATATATCATCATATCTCATATTTGGGTAAGCTATATCTGTTCCCTCAACCATAAATGGAAGAGCATATGTATTTTGCCTTTTTCTCTCAACCATAAATGGAAGAGCATATTTATTGTGCCTCTCAACCATAAATGGATGAGTATAGAGTGCCAAAAGGCCTTGCCTCTCAACCACAAATGGATGAGTATATAATTTATGTATTTTTCTCTCAACCATGTTGAATGGAAGAGGCCCAACCAAATGGTTGGCTGCCAAAAGGCTCGGATTGAGATCAATCACTATAGAGGGTGCCCAAGGGCTAGGGTTGTAATCAACATCACTGGAATCAAGGTAGTTGCCAAAACTCCCTTGATCCCAGTGTAAAAGATCTAAAAGATTGCTCAGTCCTAAGTTGCATATGATCAAGCTAAGGTCTTACCATAGTTTAAGGAAGAGGTGGCATAGAAATCCATAGGATTTAACTGGCAGAAAGCCAATGATGTGTTTTCTGGGTTAAATATATTAAATTTGAGAATATGCACTAAAAAGGGCAAGTTGCATACCTTCTGGGCTCAGAATAGCCAGAGAACAGGGAGTTTGTTGATCTAGAATATAGAAAGATTAGCAGAGTACCTACAGAAATATAGAAATAGGCTTACATGGCCAAAAATGACCAAGTTCAGAGCTAACACCAGTATTTCCAGATCTGAGCATGTCCCAGGTTTTGGAAGAGAACACAGATGGCATAAAAGTGTAGCAGAGAAGGCCTAGAAGCTATAGCAAAAAGAATTGTAGCAGTAGCATGAGTGGTTGACTCAGAATGGAGTGAACAAGGTGCCAGCAAAGCAAGATGATGGTGGTTCAAGTTCAAAAGGGAAAGTTTACTATTGTTTACCAGAAGCTTTGAAGTACCCAAGAAGTTTAGGGCATGTCCACATTCCTTATTTGGGAACTTTTCCCCACAGTACATGAATTATAGCCCCTTGTCATACATTTCTAAATGTACTGAAATCATATGACCAGGATGATTTCTTATTGAGAAAAAGATAAAAAAACATGAATAAATAGGTGTCTTTGCATATATCTCAGGAAAGAAAATAGCTAGTCACATTTTGTGACTACATTGAGAAATATAACAGCATGCTCTGTAAAACTGTCACTAATTTCCTTTTTGGGTCAATTTTCCCATGGTACCAGAAACACAGCCTCTCACTTAGCTTTAATAACAACAATTGTAGCCCCTTTGCTTAGCTTTACAAATATATAAAAACAATGTCACACAGATCATTCCTTATTGAGAAAAACACAAAATACTGAAAAAATTGGACACTTTTGAAAATAGTCATGTATTTTGATCAATATCTGCATAAGAAAGAAGGCTAGTCAGATGATATAATCACATTTCTGATATTTAATGTTGCTATACTATTGGAGAGGCTGTATTCAGGATCCAGGATGCACTTCCAAATATGGGAATATACCCAAATATAGCTAGAAAATGATAAAGAAATTACTGTCTACAAGTTTTTCCTCATTTTCCAGCTATTTTCTCTGAGTTCTTTTTTTTTTTGTTTTGCTCTGGCTATATTTAGATATGGACCCTGAACACAGCCCCTTCAACATCATGACAACAACAAATATCATTCCTGTTTTTTTCCCCTTTTTTGCCTTACTTTATAATCATTTTACACAATCTTTCTGGCTTTGTTCTATTTTTAGAGATGGACACTGAACCCTGAACACAGCCCCTTCATGATCATGGCAATGGTGAATACCATGCTTATTTTTCACTTATTTTTCACTGCTTCTCTGCCTATCTGTTTCCATTTTTCAGACTGCTTTCTATATTTGGATATGGGCCCTGAACCCTGAACACAGCCTCCCCCACTTACTAAATAATATTCTGATTTTCTACACATTTTTTGCCAATTTATTCGCCATTTTTCCTGATTTTATGGCTACTTTTCTGTTTAAGAGAAAAGGTTCCCTCGGTGATGAAAGGTAAATCAATGAATGAAAAATTTGCCTAAGTCCACTTCAGTCACCCACCTTGACCAAGCTATTAGCTAGGAAATCCTGAAAAATTATCCAGGCTAATAGATCCTCTGGCTGGTTTTTTTTTTGGCCTTTGGAAGAAAATATATTATTGGATTTGATAGAAAATGTTTGACCTCTAATATTGTGACTAGAAATATTTGGGTAGATAAATTGTGTTCAAAAATATCCTAGTCAAGTGAAAGTGGTCAGAAATATTTGAAGGGTGTCAGACTAGTAAGAAATTTTTGAAGTGTTTCAAACTGGTAGGAAATTTTTTAGCTGTGTGACACTGCTGAAAAATGTTTGAGTCATGTCACACTGCTAAGAAATTTTTGAACCATGTCATACTGCTAAGAAATTTTTTTGCCATGTCACACTGCTTAAAAATCTTTTGACCATGTCACACTGCTCGGAAATGTTTAAGCCATGTCACATAGGCAAAAAATTTCCTGCCAGTGTCATGGAGTATCTGGGGTCCTAGTTTCAAAAAAAAAACTTCAAAAATTTCTGACCATTCAAACTTTTATTTTCTGGATTCAACTTTTTTACAAAATTTATGATAAAGATCATTTTGGTCCTAAACTTGCCCTTTTATTTTATATTGTATTTTTATTATAGAAAAACCAGATTATATATTGCATTCAGCTCTATCTATTGGTAATAAGCTATTTGTTATATAGTTATAGCCTCTAAATTCTGCTCTACCAGATAATAAAGGTTGTTACTGACTGCTTTTATGTTGAGTGTATATTAATAACTATCTATAATAGACTAGCCTTACTTTACTGAATTATTACTGATGTATAAGCCATATTTCTTCAATGAAGTATGTTCCTGAAGTCTCTCTATGACTATGCCAGCTTGTTTTTCTTTTCACTTTTATAGAGGTATA